ATATATATATATATATATATATATATATATATATATATATAGTTAAAAAGGTATGTATACAGAACATTGTATTTCCTATTAATATAGCTTAAACATACTTTCTCGTAAAGGGACCAAAAAATGGTCCTAAATACCTATCAATCTAACTAACCTTTCTCCACGAAATGATCGGGTCTAACCTGTCCTCTAAGATCAAGGGCTATAACGTTGATTGAATTCAATGTCAGATGCTAAAAATACTTCCTCCATTTCAATGTATTCTGTTCGATTAAATCTGTCCACAAATCTATTTAGATTTTTAATTTGTGTTTGTCGGTTAATTCGATAAATCTATATCTAGACAACTAACTGATAAACATATCTAATACAAGATAAACATCTCATTTATTTGATTAAATTTATTATCATTTTATTTATTTTTAATTTGTACCAATATTGATATATATTTATATTTTTTTTCGTTTTTACCGGATTATTCACATAATTAACGGATAAAATATAATTAAATACATGATAAACATGCTATACATTTAAATCTATATAACTAACTGATAAACATAATTAAATAAATGATAAATACAATTTCATTTTAATTTTTTTAATTAAATAAACTATATGAATAATATGCAAATACTTTATTTTAAAAGTTATAAACAAAGTTTTGAAGATTTTCTCACATTTTACATATTTCTTTTCTCCAGTTGTTATTAAAATTTAGTTGACATGTTTTTTTATTAACCTGAATATCTAACCCGCTATGCGAGCCGGCAAATCTCAAGATGACCATTTGTTTTGCAGAGAGTTTGGAGTCACCGCATCTGAACCTCCATGACCACAAGGGGATTTTTATTCTTCTTTGGATTTGAATCTGAGACCTCTTGATACTTTTGACTTTTGGAGTTAAGTTTAAACCAACTAGACACCACTCTTGTGGTTTGTAATGTTATTTCTAATTTAAGCATAAATTAAATAGTGATGTAATATAATTTAATAACATATAATTTTTATTCAAAAAGGTGCACCCCACGCTTAGGTTTGACATTTCGCACGAGCTTGAAACATGACTTGTCTTAATTTACTGAAATGGAAATGGTTACATTTTTTGGTTTGTGAAATCTAATTAATTTAATTCGTGAATAAAACGTTATTAAAGAATTTGGTCGAAGAAATTTGTCATTTTAATTTTATTAAATTATCTCCATTGTTATACGAACCTTTTTTTTTTGTCATATTATTTTCAACTCATTAAATTAAGAACCTACATAAAAGTCTACAATAATCTCTTTTTATAGGTCCTGTGTATTTTTCCAACGTCAATAACATATAAGTTATATTTGATAAAGGAAAAAAATCAAATAGAACAGTTGTAAATAGAGGGAATGGATCTATAATTCTCATTAACCGAAAGCCTTTTATACATTTTGATGAATTACAAGTAAATAACTACGAGAAAATCAGTTCTAATCTATCTCCAATATGTTTTATCTCTATTTATATCGTTATCGGAGACGGATCCCCTAAGGGGCTATGTTTGGGGGGGGGGGGGGATGGTCCCTCCCTGCTATTTTGATTTCTTAATATAATATTGTACATAGTACTACAAGTTTTATAAAAATTTGAAATTTGGCCCCTTCACTTTTGGTATTTAAAAATGAGAACCCAAGTTTTGTTTTGTTTTTCAAAATGGGTTTTTCATACTTATCAAAACAATAAGACACTTTATTTTAAAAATGTGTTAATTAATATGACACTTTATTTTTAAAACGTGTTAATTCATGGGTTAGAAGAGTATGTATTAACGGATTGAGATCAAAATCTATAAAATATGTTATTGAGCTCGATCAGAAGACAAGATTAAAACAGTGTAACTGATTTCAATAAACCAACAATATTCACTTTTAAGGAAGATTCAATTTAAGAATATCAAAACAATACATCAGTTTCTTATTATAATCACTATAACTAAATTAATTTTATAGGACACCTAAAATGTGAAAGCGTCCTAAAAAATATATTATAGGACTTAAGGTTATAGGACAAAACCAAAAAGTGTCATATCTAAAATTGTTACAATAGGTTCATATGACGTTTTTATGCATTGTAACAAGTTTTTTATGACGGTTTTATAATAAAGTGTAGTATTAACTATTTTATATGAGACTATTTAAAAAAGTGTTCTGTAAACACAAATGTTCTATAAAAAGATGGGTTTATATGACACTTCTAAAAGATGTCCGATAAAATAGCTAATAGGACACTTTATCTTAAAGCGTCCTAAAGAACTTGTTAAAATGCCTAAAAACGTTCTATAAACCTATTGTAATGGTTTTAAATATAAATCTTTATATTTTGGTCCTATAAAACTAAGATTTATAATGTATAATGTCGTATAAAGCCAATTTTTTTGTAGTGGAATGATGGACGCCAAGAAAAATTTCAAATTATATATATTACGTATATAAAACACAAGGAAACTATGATTCTAAGAGTGTTCACTTTGGAATATTATCTTGGTCGCCTTTACCCTACTTTTTAATATACAAAATTTGGTTAAAAAATCCATATATAACACTACATGTTTACATGACATATTTATAAAAATGATTAGTTTTGGCCCCCTCGGTTATAAGTCTCGTGTTCCCCCCTTGATCGTCATATTCTTTAGACAATAACACAGTAATCCTACAATAGTCCTCCTTGTGCCGAGTCAACAGAGTGATGGTGCACAATCGTTGCATCGTTGAAACCTTACGGTAAAAGAAAAAGCCAGTGCGAAAAACATAAAAAATAGGACGAAGGAAATAGTACAATGCACCAGTTTTTTGCAATACATAAACTTTTTCTTTAGTCTAATATTCTCTCAGATTCATATATTAATTATGAGGGTTAAGAAAACAAGATGATATATAAACTATTGTCTCAGTAAAACCTTACACCAAGAAACAAAAAACAATGGAAAAAATAAAACCTTGGATAAATGAAAGAACACAACATACCAATATTACATATGTAGTAGACTCCCCATTTTATCTACTACCCCTGATTCATGCATTAATCAAGGGAGTTTGGAAAGTTTATGCATTTCGATAATTTCTACATATTTCCCAAATATGGTTTTAAGTTGTGATAACCGGGTTCCGGTTATACTTGGAGGTAATTATTTGACTAATTGGTTACGTGATTGTGTGAGTAAATGATTAATTGTTCTAATTGATCATGTAGTTATATGCATGCATGAAATTATTGATGTGAGTGTGTGCATATATTTTTTATATGCATGCATAGTTGTATATGCATGTATATGTAAATGTTGTTTATGTGCATATGTGTATGCTAGATTCTATAGTAGTTCTAAAATTGGCACCAATACTAGGATTGGAGACACCACCAAAACATGGTAATAACAAGGTTTATTGGACAACTATCTTTAAGACTATGCCAAAATTAATGTAACATAAGAGTGCGAATCATACACCGGAATTTTTCAAGAGACATTCATTTGGGCAACAATATCATTCATCATATATATATATAAGGGCAAAAGGGTCAAATTTTTTTTAATTTAGCGTGACTATTCTGAGCGCCCTAGAATTCCGTTAATCTTCTAAAATTACATTTCATCAAATCAAAACAAAAAACATAAAAAGATCATGTTGGTTGTGCGAGAAGAGGTGGAAAATAATTTGTAGGTTTTGGATGAACATGTTGTGTTACATTGTAGTAAAAAAGATTGTGGTTTCATGTGCTACTCAAACCACTAAATCCCTGGTGAGAATTCTTTGGTAACAAACCATATAAGACAACCTCCAAACCACTAAACCCATGGCGAGAATTTTTTGGTAGCGTACAACCAAGAACTCATAAGAATTTTTTGGAGATGCTCTAAGTTAGGGAGGTTCGGTTGTAACATGTCGTACTTTGTTATAAAAATTTACAGCAATAAATATTGTTGTTATTTCCACTAATCCTTCAAAACATTTTCGAACCATTTTTATGGAAAAATTATGATCATCATGTTTATTGAACATTGGATCCCTATTGTTCATATAAATCTATATGTTTGAGCTTTCTTTGCCAACCCACGTAGACTAATGCATTTAATTATGTGATTTCATCTCATTTTCTTAATTACTTGTAATCTTATGCTTTGTTTTGGAGTAAATTACAAAATTTTCCCTTACAGTTTGTCGAAAACAATATTTTTTGTTCTTACACTTTTGAAATTATAAGATGACCATTATGGTTAGCAAAAACATTCAAATTTGATCTCTCCCCTTAACGGTCATTAAAAATTCCGTTAGATTAAGAGTATTTTTCGTTCTCTGATCAATTTTTTCCCTTTTCTACCACATGGACCAAATCCAACAATCAATTTTGAGACAAATTCAGACGTTTTTTCAAATTACAATGACCATCTTGTAATCTTAAAACTATATGGACCAAATTTGTGGTTTACTCTTTGTTTTATTATATATTAATTAATTTGTTTTGCATAAAATTTGAAAAATAGTTATAAGGTTTCCATAAACTCTCAACTTATTTATATTCATAAACTTCACATTTGGATATTAGAATGAAAGAAATTATCAAAGTTTAAGGATTTATATTGTAAAATGTGAAACCTGAATGAGATGTCATGGGATCATGGATGTGTGAACATGACAAATATTAATTTATGATATATATTTCGTCATGAATGACGACATCCACAGACCACAAAACCTCAACTCAACCCCTTCTGCTCATTTCAATCTCTTCCTCACTCTGAATCCAAAACCCCCAAACAAATATAGAAACAAACAATCCTTCCATAATTTGCAATGGCTGAAATCATTCTGGGTGCAGTCGTTGAAGTGTTGTTTCAGAAGTTAGCCTCAGGTGACTTGATGAAGCTGGCTCGATCTGAAGGTATCCATTCCAAGCCGGAGAAGTGGAACAACACTTTGCTCCAGATCCAAACTCTACTTGTTGATGCAGCCAACAAGCACATCACAGATGGAGCTGTTGATTTCTGGCTGCGTAATCTCCAGGATTTGGCTTACCAAATAGACGATATACTCGATGATTTGGCCACAGAAGCTATCCGCCGCAAATTAAATAAAGAATCTCATGCCAGCTCCAGCACCAACACAGGTAAGCTACGGAAGATAATCGGATGTTGTTGTACTAATTTCACCCCTCATACCATTGTTTATGGTCAAAAGATGAGCTCAAAGCTAGATGAGATTACGACCAAATTGCACACTCTTTTCGATCAGAAACATTCTCTAGGCTTGGATGTGAATGTTAAAAGGCCAAAGAGAAGAAATAGGAGGTTGGATGAAACTTCACTTGTTGATGAGTCCAAAGTTATGGGTAGGGAAGGGGATAAAGGGGCATTGCTTCACAGGTTGTTGGGGAACGAAGCATGTAATCAAAATGTTAGCATCGTGTCTGTAGTGGGTCTCGGTGGGATTGGCAAAACCACTCTTGCCAAGCTTGTGTACAATGAAAAGAAGGTTAAGGATCACTTTGAGCTCCGATCATGGGTTTGTGTTTCTGAAGAGTTTGATGTATTTAATATCAGCAAGGCTATTTTTCAAGCTGTAGCCGGGACGAATCAAGAATTTGCTAA